CACACACACACACACACACACACAAACTCAAACACCCCCACCAACCCACACACGTACAGAAAGTCCATTTTGTACAAAACAGGAGAGATACCTCTATCAAAGATCACAACTCTGTACCTCAGCCACACGCACTCGCGCGCACACACTTACATGTACACACATACACACACAAACACACACACATACACGTGTATACACACACACACACACACACACCTACACACACACCTACACACACACACACACACACAGAAAGAGATATCAATCAAAGACCACAGCAAGATGAACTTAGGACCTCGCCACATAGACACGGTACGCTGAACTCTTGCTACACTGGGTAAATATGATTGTAATATTATTGTCATGAGTAAGATGTTGCCTGGGGCGACATATTATTATGTGAGTTATTCTCAGGTGAGGATGAATCCAGTGGCTGCGATAAATTAGCTGGGTTTTTTTTTCTATTGCAGGTGGGTTTTTTTTTTTTCTTATGAAAGTGAAAGTGTTTTTGTTTTTGTTTTTCTCATGCCCCCATCAACACAATTTTGACATTTTATAGATTACAGATTACATGTATTTATTTATGGGCTTCATTCTCATCACTATTTGCAAATCCGGTCTTGAAAGTTCATAATTTTTTACTTTAGCACCGGCGAGTCAGTGAAGAACAGCACTAGAAAAGAGAAAACGTATTTTCATTTTGCGGTACGATACTTCCGTATAAATACCCTTAAAACGTATTGAATACCTGTACTTTTGTTTTTGTTTGTTTGCTTTTTTGTTTTTGTTTTTATACTTAGAAATCTAGATCTACCGTTTGGCAACTCTGATTATTATTCAGTCGACAATGAACGAGTTGATGTCGTCGGGGGAGTGAGGAAAACCCCCCCAACTCATCCAAAGTTCAACTTAACAGTTGGGACCTGCTGTAAAGAATAGAGGTGCAAGGACCCGAGAAATATATCAATTAACCGAAAATCAACTAAGGCGAGTTCTTCATTCATGAAGTCGACGGACTTTTGAACCCAGACCACCTAAAAATGCGGTAGGGTTTTTTATGTTGACCTACCGTTTGACAGCTGTGCATATAGCACGCAGTGTGCTTATTTATTGTCGATACAGCCTCAGAAACTGTTGCCCCGAACTCGCCTTTTGAGTCCCGTAGAAAAGGAAAAGCGAGTAACGCGGTTGTTATTATTAGATTCTTTTTGTTTGTTTGGAGACTGGGTGTGGGGGAGATGAGGGAGGGAATGGTTACAATGGGTTCAATAATATACAGTTCAATGCGTTCAGCGTAACAACTCTTAGTTTGAAAGAGTCTTTTATTAATAATTTTCTCTTCTATATTTAGAGATTTCTGTTTCTCTGTTCTGCTGGTTTGCTGTTAGTAGACCAAAGGCCATTCCACCTTTGA